CATCGAACTTAGCTAATTGCATGGTATAGGATGCACGACCTTTTGTCATGCCCCGCAGTGTACTAACATATTGGAACATCTCTGCAAGAGGAACCAGCGCATCAACCACCTGCAAAAATACAGATTATTAGCAACATAATAGTAATTCGATTAGTAGGTGAAACAATTTGAAGGCCACTAACATCACATAATCCGGTCATGAGTCTTTAGACATACCTTGAGACCACCAGGTTTATCATTGAAGCTGTTGATTTGACCTCTCCTTGAGTTGAGATCACCGATCACATCTCCCAGATGTTCCTCAGGTGTAACAACTTCAACTTTCATTATTGGTTCAAGCATTTTCGGGGCGGCTTTCTTTATCCCCTCCCGGAAAGCTCCTCTGGCTGCCAATTGGAATGCTAACACACTTGAGTCGACATCATGGTAAGAGCCATCAACTAGTACAGCGCGTACATCGACGACAGGAAAGCCTGCAAGCACACCGTTGCTCATACACTCCTCTAATCCTTTCATCACCCCAGGTACGTATTCTCTTGGCACAGCACCTCCCTTGATTTCACTCTTGAACTCGTATCCACTACCAGGCTCCATGGGTTCAAACCGCACGGTGACATCAGCAAATTGACCTTGTCCACCCGATTGTTTCTTATGCACATACCTCGTTTCTGCAACCCTGGAAATACTTTCCCTGTAATTTACCTGGGGTGCTCCAACATTGGCTTCAACCTGTACAGATGAAGCAACCACAGTTATGAAAATTCAAATCAGCAATACATCCAAAGGATTCATTCATTGAAAATTTTCAAGAAACCACAATATAGCATTTCAAGTGAAATCTAGAAAAGGATCACGTCTGTGTGCAAATCAGTTTTACAAAAACTCAAAAAGGTGTATAAAATGCTTATGTCTGTAGGTAGATGCAGACTAATATTTACACACATACATAAGTTGAAATTCTCTATGCAGGACCTCCCTCCTTTGCTAAAGGACGGATTTTGTATCAATATTGTCAATCATGAATTGATAACATGTTGGCCCGTTTTGTTATTGACACATTATCGACAATGAATTGACATCTGTTCTTTAATAAAGAACGGAAGTCCTGTACAGAGAATAACTGTACACATAAGATACATGCATAACATAGGTGAGATTAAGACAATATACCAAAACAGAAAACAAACACGAATAAAAACAACATCTAACATCTTTATGCTGGAAAATAAAGAATCAGAAATAACATGGAGTAGCAGATACAGACCTTGAATTCCCTTTTGAGCCGATCAACAATAATCTCAAGATGCAATTCTCCCATCCCTTCAATAACTGTCTGATTGATCTCTTCATCCCGTGAGAAGTGGAAAGAAGGGTCTTCTTGAGCAAGCTTAACCAAACCAGCTCCCATCTTATCAACATCAGCTTTAGTTTTGGGTTCAATTGCCACCTTAATTACAGGATCAGGGAAGTCCATTCTTTCAAGCACAATAGGATGCTCAGGGTCACTCAATGTTTCACCTGTAATGGTATCTTTTAGGCCTGCAAGCGCAACAATATCACCAGCTAAAGCTACCTTAACATCCTCCCTACTGTTTGCGTGCATTTCTAGAAGTCTACCAATCCTCTCTTTTTTTCCCTTGTTTGCATTCAGTACATAGGATCCAGCAGCTAGCTTTCCTGCATAGATTCTCACAAATGTAAGGGATCCCACAAATGGATCGCTCATGATCTTGAATGCTAGCCCAGCAAATGGTTCATCATCACTTGCAGCCCTCTCAATAATGATTTCTGGGTTATCTGCATCAGTCCCCTTCATTGGTGGCACGTCAAGAGGTGAAGGCAAATAATCCACGACAGCATCAAGCAAAGGTTGTACCCCCTTATTTTTAAAAGCTGAGCCACATAACACTGGCACAAAACTAATTGAGATGGTTCCCTTCCTAATTAATTTCTTAATGGTTTCTTCATCAGGTTCAACTCCTTCTAGATAGCCCTCCATAGCTTCATCGTCTAACTCAACAATGGTTTCTATCATCTGTGACCTATATTCTTGAGCCAGCTCCAGAAGATCAGATGGAATATCCTCGTAAACAAATTTCGCACCCAACTCTTCTCCAGACCAAAGTATAGCTCTCATCTTCACGAGATCAATAACTCCCTTAAAATTATCTTCTGCACCTACTGGAATTTGAAGTACAAGTGGTTTGGCGCCCAAGTTTGTCACTATCATGTCTCTTGTTCTGAAAAAGTTTGCTCCAAGACGATCCATTTTATTGACAAAGCAAATTCTGGGCACCCCATATCTATCAGCTTGTCTCCACACAGTTTCAGATTGAGGTTCCACACCAGCAACACTGTCAAACAAACATATAGCACCATCCAGTACTCTGAGAGCTCGTTCCACTTCAAGGGTGAAGTCAACATGGCCAGGAGTATCAATAATGTTAATCCTGTGTTTGTCCCAAAATGTTGTGGTTGCAGCCGAAGTTATGGTAATGCCTCTTTCTTGTTCTTGCTCCATCCAGTCCATAGTTGCTGTTCCTTCGTGCACCTCCCCTATTTTATAGTTTCTTCCAGTATAAAACAAAATCCGTTCGGTTGTAGTAGTCTTCCCCGCATCTATATGAGCCATAATTCCTATATTGCGATAATCTTCTAATGGCACTGCACGCTTTCCATCTGTCATACAGATAAACAAATAAAACATATTTAGCTCTGCTATGTCAGCTGATAAACTAACATTTTTACAAAAATCAAAAGCAAACTGAAAAAAGTACAAAGAGTTTTCAGACATAGTTATAAAGTCAGTTAAAGAAACCCCAAGAAATGTATTATTATGGAGCACCGTTCAGTTATAACATGCCCTTGGAAAGACAGTAAAAACATTAATATTGTGTTCCCATCTAGCATCAAAGTAGCTAAATAACCATGGAGATGCTAACTCCCAGAATTGTTGGGAAGGGCATCATTTGTGCACATTCCAAAAGATTGAATTCATATCATTATAAGTTCCAGAGACAATTAAATGGATGTCAAACTCATATGCATAGAACATTCATCTACTCTCCTTCAATAAACTTAAATTAAACTACAATATAGCAGGAAGACACTACGCTAATCGGGTTGCAAATTGACAATGAAGTCAGAGAAGTAGATAACAATGGAATACATAAACCATACGGTCCATATCTTCTCAAGAAGACATATTAGAATAGCAAAGTCCTAAACAAAACACGAGGGTCAATTATTATAACTAAAAAGATCATGCTTTTGGTTATAAATATTCACTCTGATTCACTTAAACTAAGAACCAAAACAAAATGAATACAATCTCACAGAATAACCCAAATTCAACAACCTGGGCAATTGGGTACCCGGAAAACACTTTAGAGAACAAAAATTCAACAAGATAGTAGCAGTTAAAGAATAGAAAGAGATAAAACAGGAGGAGAAAAATACCATCAGCAGCCATAGCGACAACAGAGAGGTTTCTTCGGCTCTGTTGGCGTAAAATAGAGAGCTTTGAGGAGTTGGAACTGCTGAGCCGCACATTCCCAAAGAAGTGGGAAAGCGAAGATGAGGTGAGAGAAGAAGAGGGTCGGCGACGAAGACCCAGAAAGCGAGCTGGCGAGAGAGGAATGGCTGGCCTTGTCTGAGACCCATTGAAGCTGAAACTGTACACTCTCACCGACTCTGTAGCCATTTTTTCTTATCTGTTTGTGTGTGAGAAACAGAGAGAGAGAGAGAGAAAGACAAAGAGAGAGGTTTGTTGGGGGTGTTTTGGCGCCCTACCTGATATGACCCGTATGGGTTTGGGTTGTGGAAGCGTGGTGAGTTGGGGATAACGAAAAACCAAGAGGTGCTTGTGCGTTTGGGTCTATAGCGAGCTTTCTGTTCAGGACATTCTGGACCTTAAGATAGTTTTGGAATTTCATAAATTTGAAGAACGAAAATGCACCAATAATTAAATATAAATACATAAATCAATGGAAGAATACTTTTGCCCTTCACCCCAATATACTACCTAACATAATTAATCTCCACATCATTTAGCTAAACTTTATATATTGAATTCTAAGTTTTCGAATATCTTTCTATCATCGGCTAAACACAAAATCTTTTTCATCTTTAAAAACAAAAAATATCACTAAATTAAAAATTAGTTGATAAATTTCGACTAAGTCAGAATACGAAAGAAAATTCTAACCCTAATTTATCAGAATTGAATATAAAAACCAAGTATGACATAGAACTTTCATAAAGGAAAAATAGTTATCAAATGAAACAAATGCAAACTACTTAGAGCATCTCCACCCACAAGGGCCAAGTCTAAGGCAAGGGCAAGCAAGGGCTGCAACTATTCACGTGAATAGTGTCAGCCTTTGCATTTGTGGTTCCACCCATGAGGGCAAAGTCTAAGGCAAGTCAAGGGCAAGAAAAAAAAAATATATGCAACAAAATATAAAATTGTTATGTATTTATAAGGAAAGTGAATAAAATTGTTATGTATTTATAGGGAAAATATCCATAAATTTTTGGTTTTTTTTTAAAAAAAAATTGAATTTTTTATAATTTTTTTGAATTTTTTTTTGCTCGCTGACGTCAGCATAACCGCTGGAGGGGAGTTGGGCTGCTAGGGGGGCCTTTTGCCCAGGTTTTAGGTGAGCGCTGGAGATGCTCTTAATCCAGCATAAAGGCTATCATCAGCCCATCATAATTTTTTTTAAAAGAAAAAGAAAGAATACAATGAACGGTGTGTGTTCTTTTTTATGTTAGCTTTTTTTATTTATTTATTGAAAATGTTAAATTAGTCTATTTTATTTTCTGCACAAAGAAAATAAATCTTGTTAAAAAAATGTTAGCCTTGGAGGAGAACAAGGGCTGCGAAGCTACCACGTATCTCAAATTAATATCCTAAAAATATAGTGCTCGGATTGGGGTCCATGCAAAGTTGCAGTTAGGAGCAATGCACGGTAAAGCCCATAACCCATCTCTAAGCCCCAAGCCCAACCCGCCGCCTTCTTTCTCAGTCTCATCTGCCCACTTTCCATATTCTTCTTCAGTTCTTCTCCTTCAATTCTTCTCCAGTCTTTTGCAGTGATGACGTAACGCATTACCCACAAAAAGGTATTTGTTAATTTCCTTTCTTTTCCTTTTTAAATTTGTTTAGAAGTTTATGGTTTTCTTGTTTGCTGTGTGAGTTTAGAATTGAGAACCTGCTGTGTTTCTGATTTGCTGATTGCTTGGCTCCTTATCTGTTTTTGGATATTGTGGGTTTTTTTGCATTTGGTCTTGTGATAGATAATTCTGGTGCTAATCTGCTATTAGGGTGCATTTGATTTGTTCCTGTTTTCTTATTGATAGAATGCCTTTCTTTTTTTTACTAATAATTGGGGAATTTGGTGGATGTAAGATGATGAATTTGGTTTGGCACACCCCAAATAGTGATCTTGGTTCTGCTCCTGCACATTTATATCAATGATTAACATTTTATCTTGTTTACTTTTAGCTTGACAACTTATTATTTTATTTCCGTAGGAATTCATGTTAGTATGATTATACATGTTGTCTCATCTTGATGTCAATGGATCTCTCTTTTATAAAACTATGGAAATAGAAAATGGGAAGTTCAGTTGGCTCTATCTTTTTTATTGCAGAGATAAGCTCAAATGATGTCATCAGTTGCATTAGCTGCTTCAGCAAGTTTTGTACCATTCAATTCTAGGGCAAAGCACTTGGCTAGACTATTTCCTGGTTTCTCAAGAAGATGTGGTGAGACCAACATATCATTATCTGCGAGTTCTCAACAGAAAGGATTTCGGTTTGCTGTTGCTTCCAGTGCCTCCGGGACAAATGGAAATGTTGCAGAGATACCTGAAGCTGAAACTGCACCTCAGTTATATTCTTGGCCAGATAAGAAGAGACCAAGGGTATGTATACTAGGTGGTGGGTTTGGAGGTCTATATACTGCGTTAAGACTAGAATCTTTGGAATGGCCTGATGACAAGAAACCTCAGGTGCTCCTTGTTGACCAGTCTGAACGCTTTGTTTTTAAGCCAATGCTGTATGAGCTTCTGTCTGGAGAAGTAGATGCATGGGAGATAGCTCCTCGTTTTTCGGATTTGCTGGCAAATACAAGTGTGCTGTTTTTTCAAGACAAGGCCAAACTATTATATCCCTCTGATCATTTCGAAGTGAATGGACCTACGCAATCCAGTCGTGGGGGAAGTGTGCTGCTTGAAAGTGGTCTCCTTGTTGAATATGACTGGCTAGTTCTTGCTTTGGGAGCTGAAGCTAAGCTTGATGTTGTACCAGGAGCAATAGAGTTCGCATTGCCATTCTCCACCCTGGAGGATGCTCGTAAAGTTGATCATAAGTTAAGAACATTGGAGAGGAGGAACTTCCGTAAAGAATCTTCCATTCGTGTGGCTGTGGTTGGTTGTGGTTACTCTGGAGTTGAGTTAGCTGCCACCGTATCAGAGAGACTGCAGGATAGAGGTACAGTACAAGCAATTAATGTGGAAACCACAATCTGCCCGAATGCCCCACCTGGCAATAGGGAAGCTGCAATTAAAGTTCTCTCATCCAGGAAAGTTGAACTTTTTTTGGGTTATGTTGTCCGTTGTATTCGTAGAGATGTTGATCTGGAAGCTTCAGAAAAGCCAACAAAGAGCATAGGTGTTGCTCAACATGATTCTGAGAAATATATATTGGAACTTCAACCTGCTCAAAGGGGATTACAAAGTCAAACTGTGGAAGCAGATATTGTATTATGGACTGTTGGGAATAAATCTCTTCTTCCTAAGCTGGAACCCCGTGACAGGCCCTATGACCTTCCCTTAAATGCCCGGGGACAAGCTGAAACAGATGAAACTCTTCGTGTTAATGGCCACCCACGCATATTTGCAGTTGGTGATTCTTGTGCTCTAAGGGAATCCAGTGGAAGGCTTCTTCCTTCGACTGCACAGGTTGCTTTTCAGCAAGCAGACTTTGCTGGCTGGAATCTGTGGGCTGCAATCAATGACCGTCCTCTTTTGCCATTTAGGTTTCAGAATTTAGGTGAGATGATAACTCTTGGCAGAAATGATGCAGCTATCTCTCCAAGTTTCATTGAGGGGCTAACTTTAGAAGGTCCTATTGGCCATACCGCGAGGAAATTAGCGTACTTGATTCGATTACCAACTGATGAGCATAGGCTTAAAGTAGGAATCAGCTGGCTCACAAAATCTGCCATAGATTCTGTTGCATCAATACAGAGCACCCTGACTAAGGTTCTCTCAGACTCATAAACTATGGTTCAATGGTTGTAAAGGATCTAATTGCTGGTAAAATAATTGTTACCATTTATCGTTTTATTATGATCTATATATAAAAGATGATGTGTAGAACAGTTTTATATCGAGTAATGGAACAAATGATTGATCTGTTTTTGTTGACAAGCCCCTGTCATGCCTTGCAAACTTTGTTACCTCAGCCTAACATAGATTTCCCACTGAAGCCCCTCCAATTTTACCCTAGCTAAAGGTACAGAATGTAGAAATTTAGATGCCATTAATTTATGCGAAGCAAGAGGTGATTAGAGTATTCACAGAACCAGCTGCATGAATTGTAGAAACTTTGTTACCTCAAAACCAGCTGCATGAATTGTAGCCTTAAATTAAATGGTTTACTTTCTGACCGTCAATGAGGACCAATAAGCAGTCTCGTATTTCAAACCAAAGAGTTTTAACATTCCTTTCATAAAAATGAATGAGAGAAGGGCCCAGGCGTGTCATTCTTTGACTTTATTGTCACGCAAAAGCCATATATCCATGAGTCATATCATCCTGTTATGATCTCAACTGACGTGAAAAATAAGTATTTGTAATTTTTCATATGAAATCAGAACATAAAAAAAAAAATACCCCAAAAAATCTTACAGCTTGATATTCATTCAGGTGTAGTATAGATCTGGCTATTTACATCCCAATATTCCACAATCCAAAAGCAAATGACTTCTACAAAAACATTGAGTTGATCTTCTTTACTAGAACACTCGATCACACACATGTAATCCAAAAGCAACTTCCCACCCTCTCACATTTCTAGCGGCTTTTATATCAAATGAATATGTTTTCCATCAGGTTTTTACATGGATTTGACAGCAGCTAAGAAACTAAAATATTGGGGCTTATTTTTCTTGAGTGCTAAGAAAATTTGTTTCCCTTATACCTTTCCCGAGAACCAAACAGAATCTAAGGCAAGGCAGCTTTAGATGAGGCATAGCTGTTGATGAGTGCCAAAGCATTGCTTGTCAGATGTGCAACATTCACTGTGTACCTACGGACAACAGCCTCCACCCTGCCTCTCAGATGATGCTCTTCAAACCCATCCATGCAGGTGTCCTCATCTGTCAACGCAGCACTAACCCATGTTTGAATATCACTCATTTGAAACCAGAAATTTGAGCCTCTAAGTACATGACCAAGCTCATCCAAGGACTGTTGAAGCTCGTCGATAGCGTCACCAATCTCCTCCATACAATCATGCACTGCTGCAGTCTCTATAGGCTTCAAACCATGGATTTCTGACAACCTTCTCATTATCACAGAACTTTCTTGCGTGGCTGCAAGGGTCACATTGAGTGCAGTATGAGCTAGTACCTTCGGGTCGGTCTTGATCTTTCCGGCATAGATTGAGAGGCTGTGGTAGCACAATCTAGGATAAATTGTGACACTGCATGATCTTTTTATGTATTGAGTGTTTGTTTTGCCAGTGGCTGTGCAGGGGTTTATGTGATTGAATAATTGGAGAATATGCAGAGCTAATAGTAGTGCAGGCATAAGATAACCTTCCATTGATGAAGTTTGAGAGCTTGATGAATTTGTAGAGCAGAGCAAAGGGTTCTCTGATTATATATAGAAAACCTAAAGCTTTGTGGTTCCCACTTATTGGGAGGAAAATGCTTTGATGAGATGGATTCTTGGAAAATTTCAAGGGCATCTAGTTCAGAATGTGTTCCCCTTTTGGACATAGTGATAACTCAATCGTTAAAAATTTGGAAAATTGGTAGAGGTCAAACATAACATCATCAATATTAATTTTTAATTATCTTCATTTGTTTTTTAGCAGATTCATTTTCCATAAAAAAAAACTACATAAATATCTTGACTAAGTCAAAATAAGACACCTAATGCATCACACTGACAGATTCTTTGCTGTTAATCCTACTCAAGATTTAGCAGCAGAGAATCGTGCACGTTTCTAATTGGGTTTTGAAGTCGGCCATTGCAACTTGCCCAATTGCTTTCTCTAAACATTGTTCTCTTTTTAAAGTGATTGATGGGGATGTGTTTGTCTTAGTTTGGATTCATAAATATGGGATAGCTACTTCTGTCAATTGTTTTCAATAATGCAACAATTTAATCATGCTCTTGATTACCTGATGCTGAAAAATCCCATGTGGAAAGCAAGAGATTAGAAAGAAGAATTGGTCTTTTTATTTTTATTTTTTATTTTATCGTTATAAACGATAGTTTAAATACAAATTTATAAATAAATCTAATTCTAGATATGTATTTATAAAAAAATTCAAGCACTATTTAAACATAGAAACACACCCAAAATCAACCTCAAAGTCAACTTTTTGGGTGTATTTATAAATGAGTTTTGAGTGTGTAATGATGGGTTTTGGGTGTGTTTATATGTTTAAATAGTACTTGAATTTTTTTATAATTTCAATCCTCATTTTGAGTGTTTTAGTGAAACTCCCAGTTTAAATTAGACAGATTTGATTGATTATATATATCCTAATATGAGAGACAATAACCTTTGCGAAAGGACTCCTAACTTTGATCTTCTTTTTTAATTACCCCATCAAACTCCTAAGAAAGGTGGGATTTGATCTTATCCTTGGCTTTGTGGATGAGGACAAATGACTTTTTCTGAACCAGCTGACTGTATCTGCAGTAATTGTGCCTGATAGGAAAGTGCATACAAAGTCTGGTAGAACAAATCCCAAATGGATCTCTTTTGTGTGTGATGATAAAACACAAGCTCTAGCTGCAAATTTGGCTAAGCATGTTTTTTTTTTTTTTTAATTAGCTTGGTATCACCAAAACCATGTCTTGAGAATACAATATTGTACAGTGGTTATATACCTCTAAACCCTGATGAATTACTGTCTAACAGTTTGTTTTTAGTGGAACCTCGACGATATGATGATAAATATTATAAAATAAAAAATCAAACCAGCAAACAATAAGCATCTGCCGCACATGAAGGAACCTGCTGTGACCACCAATAATAAGCATCATGAGTACAGTTTAATCGTACGCAAATTCCAACTCTTAGCTGCTGTGAAGCCTGAACAAAAGGAAATGCATGGGGATCTTTATCTACACCAGTTTCTACAAATTCTTTCCTCATTGAATAAATATTTTATATAAATTTAGGATTCTTAGGCACAGTGTGTGATTTACTGCACCCTTCTGTTCTGCCTCCCTTTTCCTTTAATTTTTGATGTTATGGTATTGGTAATGTGTCGATATCATTGTCAATAACAAAACACATTATCAATATTATTATCTAAAATATCAATACAAAATCCGTCATTTTAACAAAGAAGGGAAGTACATGCATGTGACATCCATGGCAGATGATCTTCACATGACATTGTCCACAAGTCACTTTTATGGAAGTCACTTTTATGGGGACTGAGGATGTATTTAGACCTTCAATAAACTAATGGTTCCCAATTCATATGTGTAAGTAAGTGGCTTCCCAGCATGGTCTCTGTCACCCCACTAATCTCCAAGATCAATTACCAAATGGAACTTTCTCCTTTGGCCTCATCTTCCTTTCCGCTCAATCGATATGACTAGGCTGATTCTTCTTAAGCTTAATTAGGCACTTTGGTAAGCGCACGTCTAATCAGAAGCAGCTTTGCTGATTCCATAATGTTTCAACTTTCAAGTGAAAAAATTTAATCAACATGTCCCATCCCATCCCATTCACGAAAGGATAAGGCTCGCTCAAATTTTGTATTTTATTCATCTTTAGAAGATTTGCATTCATAACACTAGATTTGGTCGTCCAAAGCTAATCACATTGAAAATGATGCTTGCCATTGCTTTAACCGCTGTCCCCTGCCTCTCCTTGGCATGATGAGCTTTCCT